TGCCCCCCCCCCTAAGGACCCACGAAAAATAAAAGGGCCGGCCCTTCTAATACAGGTTTTACGGTAGGTTCGCAACAACCGAAATGAAAACAGCACAGCATTGGTGGGCTTTTATTAGAGATGAGTTTCTGTTACAGAAAATACGGTAATAAAACAAATTAGTTATTCTGAATATTAGGTTGTTAAATAAGTAATAGGCACTCAGTGCGAACCACTTCGACTTCCAGCCAGTGCAGTTCTTCCCTGACACTTGGGAACTTTTAAGCAACTTTTTACTGAGGCTTAGGAATTTTTACTGAGGCTTAGGGATTATTTACTGAGGCTTGGCAAATTTTTACTGAGGCTTAGGAATTGTTTTACTGTGGATTTGGATTTTTTACTGAGGCTTAGGATTTCTTACTGACGCTTAGACATTTGAACTGAGGCTTAGGATGTTTACTGAGGCTTAGGAAAAATTTTACTGAAAAAAAAAATTTCGGAAATTCGAAATTTTGGAAAATTCAAATTTTTCGAAATCTACAATTTTAGGAATTCGAGAAATCAGAAAATCTAGAAATCGAAAATTTCAAAATTCAGACATTTGGAAATACAGATTTTTCTAAAATTTGAAAAATTTGGAATTTCAAGAATTTCTATATTTTGAAAAAATCAAAATTTTACAAATTCCAAAATTCAAAATAAAAAAATCGATAATTGAGAAATTCGAATTTCCAGAATGTTCGACGAAATGAAATGCAACGAACGACCATCAAGAGACCTCCGCCCATCGACATCAAATGTAATTCAACATCACTCCCTATCCACGTCTTCACAATCCACGTCATCTCTGTACGATTCGGCGACACCGGAGAACTTCCTTATCGTTGCTGATATCGATAACGCAACTGTGAAAGTATTGTCTTCTGAAGGCCTCGACGAAGTGACGTCACCATCTGAATGCGTTGTTGGCATGTTGGAGCAATTTGTTGGAATCTACGGAACGATGCCGTCGACTGCCGAGTTTTTGGTTGGAATTTTGGAAGATTCCCTGGCACATATTGTTGGGAAGAGTCTGACACTTGTCGAGTTGGTTCGCAGTGATCAATCGGTGAGTTTTTAGATTTTCCAGCGAAATTCCAGTCATTTTAGTGGAAAGATCAAGTTTCTAGCTTCATTTTGAAGCGAGTTATGACGATTTGAAGTTTTACTGAGGCTTAGGAATTTTACTGAGGCTCGGTGAACATTTCGGTACTAGTTTCATATCACTACCTCAATTTTGAAAGCAGTTACAAGAGATCTAAATCCACCTATGGGAAAATATGAAAAAAAAAGAAAACAATGATTTCTACCTGGAATTTTCAATTGGAAAGCTTTATTTCTTGTTAAAGAGGGACTCCGACCAAAAATTTTTATTGCATCAAAATGTGTTAAAAGTTGTCTGTTTTTCAAATATTATTGCGAAAAAATTCAAAGAAAATCCGAAATTCCCGAAAAACGGCGTTGAAAAAGAAAACAATTCAAAAAAGTGCCGCCGGGGGACGAGGATTTTCAGTGAGAAACCTAGGCCACGACAGTGGGCGCCTTTCCTATGTGGCAATTTTTCCTGATTTTTTTCAATTTCATGTCCGGAAGGTAAAAAACGTAAAAAACCACTGTCGGCGACTTGAAAAAAAGGCTGTCAGGTGCCGTGGCCTAGGTTTCTCACTGAAAATCCTCGTCCCCCGGCGGCACCATTTTTTGAATTTTCTTCCTTTTCAACGCCGTTTTTCGGGGATTTCGGATTTTTTTCGAATTTTTTCGCAATAATATTTGAAAAACAGACAACTTTTAACACATTTTAATGCAAAAAAAATTTTTGGTCGGAGTCCCCCTTTAAATTCTGAGTATTTTGGTTAAAAAACCAAGATTCTAGCTTAGGCTTTCCATGACGGGCGGGTAGCGAACGGCTACCCGCCCGTACCCATACCCGCCAGCTACCCGCCCCCTTGCTACCCGGAACTTTTT